GATTTATGTAGATGTATCTGTGTTGACCATCTATCAATTGCTAATCTTTTAGTCATTGTTCATATTTGGTTTAGTGTATTCCTGCTGGGCTGTGGCTCACCCTTTATGGGACATCATTTTCAGGTACAGGTAGCATGCCACCTCCAAGGACATAGCTTGGGAGGGTAGAGGTAGACAGACTGCTTTGTTATTGCTTTCTTTTGATGTATTACATGTAAATTCAAGCCAAGGGCTTAATATGTATTGAGTTAGCACTCTTCTTTTTGTAACCAAGTGTTAACTTGGAAAGCTGTAAGCCCGTAGGGCATTTGCTTTTGTTGTTAACATGTAATACTTTTGTAAGAACTATTCAGATTAATGGAAAGTTAGTTGGTTTCTTTGTGTTAATGCATGTCTAAGTTGATGGGTTTTAATGTCATTATTTTGAGGGCGTTACAGATGTTTTATAGAAATTTTAATAAATTTATTTATTTATTTTTATCTCTAGCATTGCTCCTTGAGATCTACCTTTCTTTTGGTTCTGTCTTTTTAGCTCAAAATTTGTCTTTAATAACATATTACTAGCACATTTTTTAAAATAAAAATCACATATAGAAATTATGATTTTGTTTGGTTTGATTTTTCATAAAAAAAATTTAGACGGTTTTCATTAATCTTTCATGATCTTTTTTCTATAATTTTTTTTTATATTTTAGTTATTTTTAATTTTTTTTAGATATATCAAGATTAGATACATCTAAACAAAAGGTAAATTATAAATACACCTCTTAAGATTTGCTTAAAATATGTATTGCCTTCTGTAGTTTTAGAAAGAGAGCTTTTTTGATAAATCTTTTTTCTAAAAGCTTTATTCCATCCATCTCATATTCTTTTTGACTATTCCATTAGGTTCTATTTGAGGTAGGAAGACCAAAACACCCTTTTCATCTACTTATGTTCCATTTAGTCCACATTATTTTCTTATGTTTCAATAAGTCCTATGGGTGACATAATTACCAAAATACCCCTAATGTGAATGTTCACACCGTCAATGTGAATGTTCCTATTTGAGGTAAGAAGACCAAAAATATCATTTTCATCTACTTATGTTCCATTTAGTCCACATTATTTTCTTATGTTTCAATAAGTCATATGGGTGACATAATTACCAAAATACCCATAATGTGAGTGTTCACACCGTCAATGTGAATGTTCCTATTTGAGGTAAGAAGACCAAAATACCATTTTCATCTACTTATGTTCCATTTAGTCCACATTATTTTCTTATGTTTCAATAAGTCCTACGGGTGACATAATTACCAAAATACCCCTAATGTGAATTTTATTCACACCGTCAATGTGAATGTTTCTATTTGAGGTAAGAAGACCAAAATACCCTTTTCATCTACTTATGTTCCATTTAGTCCACATTATTTTCTTATGTTTCAATAAGTCCTATGGGTGACATAATTACCAAAATACACCTAATGTGAATGTTCACATCCTATGGGTGACATAATTACCAAAATACCCGTAATGTGAATGTTCACATCGTCAATGTGAATGTTCACACCGTCAGTGTGAATGTTCACACCGTCAGTGTGAATGTTCCTATTTGAGGTAAGAAGACCAAAATACCATTTTCATCTATTTATGTTCAATTTAGTTCACATTATTTTCTTATGTTTCAATAAGTCTTATGGGTGATATAATTACCAAAATACCCCTAATGTGAATGTTCACATCCTATGGGTGACACAATTACCAAAATACTCCTAATGTGAATGTTTACATCGTTAATGTGAATGTTCACACTGTCAACGTAAATGTTCACACCGTCAATGTAAATGTTCATATGATCAATGTGTAGGGGCTCGGCCCAGCTCGGACTGGGGCCAACCTATGTAAAGCCTTGTGGGTGCTTGCCAAAATTCGGGCCGGGCCGGGCCGGACCGGCCCACGGGCCAAAAAATTAGGCCTAGGCCCTAGCCCTGACACAAAGATATTCAGGTTTTGGGTGCCCCGGTGGGTCGAGCCAAGGAGCTTAGGCCTAGACTTGGGCTTGGGTCAGGCTTGGGTGAGCCTCGCCATTTTTTTTTAATTCTTTTTAATTTTTTCTCCCAAAATTTTATTATTTTCCACAAAAAAGACACCGGGCCTCGGGCCGAGCCTTAAATGGGCCTTATGCGGGCCGAGCTTCAAAGTGATGGCTTAGGTCCTAGCCCAAGTTCTCGGGCTAGGCTTGGGCCCGGGCCCAAACGAGCTTGCCGCGGGAGGGCTTCGAGTGGCCCATGGACCGTGGGCCAATTTTACACTCCTATCAATGTGAATATTAACATGTCAATGTGAATATTCACATTGTCAACAGGTCGAACCCGCTCCGGGCCGCGGGCCAATTTTACACTCCTATCAATGTTAATGTTAACATGTCAACGTGAATATTCACATTGTAAACGGGCCGGGGCGGGCCAGGCCCGGGAGCGAGTTTCGTGTCGCCTACGGGCCGCGGGTCAATTTTACACTCCTATCAACATGAATGTTAATATGTTAATGTGAATATTCACATTGTCAACGGGCCAGGCCGGGTCGGGCCCGCCCCGGGCAGCCCACAGACCGCGGGTGGGTTTTGGGCCGCCCACGGGCCACAGGCCAATTTTACACTTCTATCAATGTGAATGTTAACATGTCAATGTGAATATTCACATTCTCAACGAACCGGGCCCGCCCCGGTCCAGGGGGGAGCTTCAGACCGCCCATGGGCCACGGGCCAATTTTACATTCTTACCAATGTGAATGTTAAAATATGAATATTTACAGCCCGCCCCGCCCCGGGCAACAGGTGGGCTTCGGGCCGCCTACGGGCCGCGGGCCAATTTTACACTCCTATCAATGTGAATGTTAATATGTCAATGTGAATATTCACATTGTCATGGGACGGGCCGGGCCCTCCCCGGGCAGCGGGCGGGCTTCGGGCCGCCTACGGGCCGCGGGCCAATTTTACACTCCTATCAATGTGAATGTTAATATGTCAATGTGAATATTCACATTATCACGGGCCGGGCCAGGCTCACCCCGGGCCGCCCACGGGCTTCAGGCCGCCCATGGGACGCAAGTCAATTTTACACTCTTATCAATGTGAATGTTAACATGTCAATGTAAATATTCATATTGTAAACGGGCCCGGCCCGGCCCGGGGGCGGGTTTCGGGCCGCTTACGGGCCGCGGGTTAATTTTACACTCCTATCAATGTGAATGTTAAAATGTTAATGTAAATATTCACATTGTCAACGGGTCGGGTCGGGTCGGGTCGGGCCAGTCCCAGGCAGCCCACGGACTACGGGCCAATTTTATACTTCTATCAATATGAATGTTAACATGTCAATGTGAATATTCACATTGTCAACAGACTGGGCCCGCCCCGGCTAGGGGGCGAGCTTCGGACCGCCCACGGGCTAATTTTACATTCTTATCAATATGAATATTAAAATATGAATATTTACAGCCTACCCCGCCCCGGGCAACGGGTGGGCTTCAGGCCGCCCACGGGCCGCGGGCCAATTTTACATTCCTATCAATGTGAATGTTAACATGTCAATGTGAATATTCACATTGTAAACGA